AGCGTCTCCTTTCAGGCCAGGATAGACGAATGTCACCGAGCAGTGACTAAGTTTGTGGTAAAAGGCTTGCACCCATTTGCCACAGCAGATGCCCCCGATTTCACTTTGGTAAGTGAATGTGTTTAATTGTAGGCAGTGACATTACTGGATATTCTTGTGTAATTTCTACAGAATAATTTATGTTACAATTTGTTATTGCTACAGAAGAATGTTTATTTTATTATTTTACATTTACATTTTTTTTCCTAGGGACTCTGTGACACCCCCATTGAAGAGCCGTAGGCTGGATTAGGGTTGAGGGTTAGGATGCTAGTAAAGGTTACAAACTGTGTTACCTAATCGGTCGTCCTAGTCTTCTTTATTGCTTTGCCTCTATGATGTGGCTAGTGTATATTGCTAACTTAGAGAACACGAACAAATAGCTTTTCGTGAAAGTTTCACGTTTTGCTCTGAGACAAGTTTGACAATTCACTCAAATCCTTACGTGAAAGCACCGTGGTATCACTATTTTTATATTATTTCAAACTGCATGATCTTTTCTTGTAAAACAAAAAAAATCTCCTGGAGTAAACAGAGAAAATCTTACAAGAAAATACAGGCTTCAGACTGTAATAAAAAAAAGTTGTGCTCACTATTACAACACACGAGACTTTTTTTCATGACTTTTTTCACGTGTTGCTTCAAGACCGGTTTAAGTTTTTACTCTCAAATAAACCCCTTAATTAAAAGTAGTATCACTACTTTTACATATTGGACATTGCTGAGTCGTCCATATTGATTTAAAGCTGGACTTTAAGTTTAATAATGTAGCACATTTAAGCACAACAGACACTGGCCTAAGTGCTGCAGCACAAGTAAAACAATCAATGATAATACAATAACAGATGAAGACAATACAACTTTTTACCATGAAAATAATGATAAAAAGTAAAATAACAGTAGTAAAAAGAGATGAACTGGGGAAATTGATACAACAAACTGAAAATAATCTGAAAATGAAAAAGTTAATAAAAAGATGTTTCCAGTTGAGATTTGAATACTGTGACGTGAGCAAGAGGACCTAATGTGAGGAGGAAGATAGTTCCAGAGTTTCGGAGGTACGCCTGGGGATTCCCAGTCACCTGTAAAAGTAAATCTGGAATCTGGAATCTGGGACTAGAAGTTGCTGATAAGTGGGCCAAAGTGAGCGGCATGGGCCTTAGGATTGTAAAAGATCTGATAGATTAATGTGAAGAAGTCTGTGCATCATACTGAAACTGATCCTGTACTTCACAGGAAGCCAGTGAAACGATTCAAGAATGGATGAAATTCAATCACACTTCCGTGTAGCTGTCAGCAGCACCATTTTGAACCAGCTGCAATCGAGATGTGAGTGTTTTGCTCAGTCCAGTATATGATTAATTTCAGAAATCCAGTCTGCATGTAATAAAAGCCTTAACTGTACTTAAAAGTCTTAACATTTATTTATATTAACGTGAATAATAGGAGTGTTTTTTTATGCTGTACATAAGTAAGTAAGTAAAATTTTATTTATATTGCTAGATAAAAGATCACAAAGTGCTTTACAAGGTATAT